TTCAAAAGATCAGGTTATAGATCATACACACATGGACACATCTATGCACACCCCACAGTGAGACCCTGCTGCACACGCACTGTCCCAAACAAATTAACCCCCTCCCTGGCCAGGGCGTCGGTTCCAACTCACAGCTCCCTGCAGGACAGGCAGACCTGCTCGGCTGGGTTTCCAAGGCTGTCACCGTTACGGGAGTTACGGGAGCAGACGGACACCCCTCTCTCGGAGCAGCTGCTGTGGTGTCAGGCAGTTCCTACTTCCAATGGCCCTCTGCACAACAGAGCCAGACTCTGCCCAGTCCTGCTCCAGGCTCACGATGGTTCTGTTTGAGCCAGCTGCTGCACCCGCTGTGTCATCCAGCTTTTGAAGAGCATTCACCCTTGTTCGCTGACCTCTACTGAGCCAAGCATGCTGTCCTTTTCCAGGGACCGGTCTTTCCTGCTACCAGGTCCAAAGTCTGTGAGATGCAGTCTCACCAGCCTCACTTTTGAGGAAGATTCTGGCGGTCCTGTTTTCCACACAGCTTTGTTTGTCCTTCTGGAAGCCACGGTCCTTCCACTCGTCTTTGCCAAGCCCCCAATGTGATGACTGCAGCTACTCTTGGGAGGACGGCGCAGGGCGGGCAGTGTGTCATTCTGTGGTGCACAAGGTCGCTGTGGGCTGGTGGGAGCTGACTTGGACGCAACTGTCAACAACATCTATTCTCCCAGAGCTGGGGGGCGGGAGCTCATTCGAGGTGGCCAGTCGATGTCCTGCTGTTTTCCAGAGGGGACAGCCTGATTGTGCCCCATTTTTCATAAACTTAGAATGTCACGGAAACAACACTCACACAACACACACACACATATGCACGGTCCACACAACATGCATGAGACACACTGCACACACGCACATGGTCCACACACATGCATGAGGCACACCGCACACATGTTCATGACCCACACATGCATGAGGCACATGGCACACACAAATATGCATGGCATACATGCATGGGACACAGCACACATCCCTCACTACATGCGCAAGACATGTGACACACACAGCATCCATGCCACACACAATATACATGAGCTATGTGGCACACACAGCACATGCAACCACATAAGACACATGCACACACACACAACACACACCTAAACATGCACACAATCAGAAGGGCCTTTTAAACAATGACAAGACTCATAAAAGGGAGAGTGAATGACATGCCCCCATCCCCTGGGGGGACCCTCTTCCTCTCGTCCCCCACTTTGTGCCTCTGCCCCGTCTGGCACTTGGCACGGAAAAGTGGCAAGAGGAGAGGAGGGGAGGAAGCATGTAGGAAGGTGGATTTTTTTCATCAAGGGCTGGAACTGGGTCTGCCATCTCTGCCCAGGCTTGTCCACCTGCCCGTCCTCCTCCTCCGTGCTCTGGCCCTGCCCTGCTCACCTTGGAGAAGAGGCTGAAGCAGCCCAGGCGGCTGACGATGCAGTAGACCTCGGGCAGGCGCTTCCCCTTGCCGCTGGGCTTCGGGAGAGAAACAGGGAAAACCTGCTGTCACTAGCTGCCCCCCACCCCACCCTCAGGCCGCTGTCATGGACTGAACTATGTCTCCCCCGCCCCACCCACCAAAACACGTGTCCTCGACCCGAGCCTGTCTCACTGTGGTGGCAGGAGCCCGGTGGTGCAGAGGTTAGCTCTGGCTGCAAACCCAAAGGTCAGCTGTTTGAACCCAGCTGCTCTGGGGTCAGAACCAGACGGCTGCTCGTGTCTGGAGACGGCTCAGAAACCCCGAGGGGCAGTTCTCTGTCCGAGCGGGTCCCTGAGTCACAGTGCACTGGCGGCTGTGGGTCTGGTGTCTTGGTTTGGTTTCCCGTCGAATTCCAGTTCGGACGGGGTTTCTTGTTGTGCTCATGAGGCGGTACCTGCCAGGGTGCATTTTGCATCAATCTCATGAGATCAGGAGCAGAGGAAGCACAAAAGCAGAGAGGAGGAGGGTTGACAGCCAGCCACAAGATCCCCGAGGACCCCAGGACAGGGACCCTACCTCGGGGCAGACGGAGCCTGCACCTCCTGCCGCTGAGTCCGAGGGAGGGAGGAGCATCTCTGTGAAAGCCCCGCGTGTGGCGTTTCTGTGACAGCAGTGCTGTGAGCCAGAGGGTCCCAGAAACCACAGCTTTGGGAAACCCGTGGAGGCAAACAGGCTCTGGCCTAGCCCACCCTGCGCCATCATCCTTCACACTGTGGTCTTATCTGAGGTGAGCGGCTGGGGGCTGAAAGACCACTCAGTTTTCTCGGGGGTACGGCCTGCACCTGTTCTTACGGGCTTTGTGGCAAAGCTCACTCTGCATCCTGCCTCTGACTCGCAGGATCTGCCCCTGGCGCCTGGTTCCTGGGATGCGAGCCAGCAGCGTGCCCTGGATCCACACGAGTCAGCAGGAGCCTCCAGCCTGATGCCTGATCCACGGCCTTGGAAGCCACCACAACTGCGTGAGCCACTTCACTGAGCATGCACACACACGTATCTGTATCCACTCGTACACACATTGGTGAAGTAGAGGGACAGTAAAAAAGATGAAGGGGCACAGTGGCTGCAGCAATGGGCCCAAACATAAGCACCGTGGTGAGGAGGGCGCAGGAACGGGCAGTGTTTTGTTCTGTTGTGCACACGGTCACTGTGAGTCTGAACTGACTTGACGGCACCTGGAAACAACAGCCACACACACACACAGAGCCCAAGACAGGCACCTGTGCCCGACTTCAAAGGCAGGAAGAGCCTGGCCAGACAGTGGATGTGGGGCGAGGAGAGGGCTGCCATCTCCTCGACTGGGACAGTCAGGGTCAGAGTGGCGAGGTGGGTCCTTCCTTTTCCCTGTCCCTCTCCATCTGTGGTCGGACTCTTCTAAGGGGGATCCATCTATTTTCTCCGCCATCTGAAAGAGTATAAGCATCGCCTCTACCCCTAGTCACCAGCAAGCCTGGTGTCCACACCCCGTCATCGTTCTTCCAACAGATTTTCTCCGGTTGGTTTTCTCTGTGGGGGTGGGAAAGTGTTTCTCCGCCCTAGTTACACGGGAATCTTTTGGAAGTGAGAAGACATTTAGAATCAATGTGGCCAAGTGGAGTTTATTGTGTGCTGTCTCACCTTTCGTTTCCCCCTTCTGTTGAAATAATTGAGTTTTCAGTGTGCCATGTGCCCGTTCAATGAGGGCTTGGCCCTGAGGGTTGTAAGGGATCCCTGTTATGTGATGAATATTCCCGTCTTGGCAAAAATTGTGGAATCTCTTGCTAGTGAAGGCAGAGCCATTGTCCTTAAGTGTGTACGAGTGCCCATCACAGCGAAGCAGGCCAGCAAGTGGCTGATGACATATTTTGTGGACTCGCTAGCCATGGCTGATGCCCATAAAAATCCTGAGAAGGTGTCTATAGTAACATGCACAGCTCCTAGACGTCCAAATGAAGGGATGTGAGTGACATCCATCTGCCAAATAGCATTCGATTGGTCACCACGTGGGTTTACCCCGTGAAGTCCTTCTCTGAGTGAGGCATGCTGGCAGTGAGGGCATTCTCTGACGATCTGCCTGGCCTGCGCCCATGTCAGGTGGTATCCATCCCTGAGGCTGGCAGCGTTGTTGTGTAATCTTTGATGTTCCGCTTGTGGGAGCGCTAGAGTGGTGAATGCCTATTGTGTTAGCACGTCTGCATTGGCATTTCCCAGGGAAATGGGTCCCGGTAATTGTGCGTGTGCTCTTGTGTGTCCCGTGAAGAAAGGGTGAGAGCGTGTTCTTATCTGGTTCTGTAAAGTAAGGAATAATCTGCCGATGTCAGAGTGTGGATCTATCTTCAACTTTGCTGTCTCAGTGAAAGAACAGACTTGCACTGTGTAAGCAGAGTCACCGATTATGTTGATTGGCTGCCTCATATCTTCAAATAGTAAAATGATAGCAAATATCTCTGTTTTCTGAGCAGAGGTGTAACAGGTTTGGAAGGAATGAGAGGAGAGACCCCAGTAGGCTGCCATGTCATTACTGGAGCCGTCTGTGAAGTAGGTGGGGGCTCCTTCAATTGGCTTGTGTGAGAAAACCTTGCTGAGGGTCCAGGGAGTTTGTTTTAGAAAACCCCAAAGTCTCCCTGGAGGATAGTGGCAATCTAGCTTTCCACAAAATTCGGTAGAGCTATCTGAAAATCCGTGGCAAGTTCTAAAAGGCGCCTCACCTGAGCGGGAGTGTAAGGCAGAATTATGACAGCCGGATCAAATCCACACAGCTGTCAGCAACGGCGCCTGCCTTTGGATACTAGCTGGGCTACTTGCTTCCAATAAGGCCAGATGACCTTAGGACCTGTGTTCCCTAAATGTATCCACTCGAGAGGCTTGTCCTCTTGGGCCAAAATAGCAGTGGGAGTGACTGGAATGTGAAAAATAATAAGGTGTATGCGCTTGTCAGGATCAACTCGAGAGATCTCACACTCGCTGAGCCTCTCCTCCACAAACTACAACTCGAGGCGAGCCTCGGGGGTGAGCTCTCTGGGACTATTCAGCTGAGAGTCCCCCTTTAATATTTCAAATAAATGTTGAAGTATGGGAAACAGAAGGATTTCTCTCAAGTTGTCTCCCCCAAATATATGCCAGACTTAGCTGCTTGAGAATGACTGTACACTTGGAGGTCATCAGGAGTAGATTAAGGGTCATTCTCCCTAAGAGCTAATCAGCTGTCTAGACCAAGCAGACACCACTGTTTATCCCACAACAAGTAGGGTCCACTCCCTTCTGATAAGGATAGTAGTTGTCTGTTTCCTTGTAAGAGACACCAGAGAGGTCAAACCCGCTCAAGGATGACCAAGGTTAGGCTGCCATTATGAATCTAGGGTCCGCCCATCTTGTCACATGTATACCCCTAGACCTTCCCATTCCTATGGGCACACCCCTAGCTCATCCCCAATCCTGTTACGCTTATGCCTATCATAGATCCCCTTCCTACAATGTGCATGCCTATTGTACTGCCCCTTCCTGTGACGTGTGATTCTATAATCATGTCCCCCTAAAGTGATATAATGTGTGGTTGGCAATAAAGAGAGAGCGCTCCCCAGTTCTTGGTCCCCGAGGAGGCTGCTCCTGCTCTCGTGGCTGGGTTCCCCCCACGAGGACCACGAAGCCGGGCTGAGGTGAGCAATGCTACCATGTAATGTGTCTGACTGCATTAATGTAATATCTCTCCTATCACTCATGCTCTCGATGACTTTAATATAATATATATACATCTCAACCGTACAATTGTGCTTACTGAACCCGTGGGTAGTAGTGGTGGGGGGGCTGGTTCACCCCCCTCACCCCCCAAACTTTATACCACATTTAAATTCCTCTGTGAGGATTCCTAGGTAGGGTCTTACCCAGTTTATTTCTCCTAAAAGCTTCTGGAAATCATTCAATGTCTTAACATGGTCTTTTCTAATCTCAAGTCTCTGTGGCATGATTGTGGTCCGATGTATCACTGTCCCTAGATAGGAGTGGGGACTGGTAGTTTGAATCTTATCAGGAGCTATTACAAATCCTGCCTGAGAGACTGCTTCACGGACACGCATATAAGTCTTCTGCAGCATGTCACTGTTAGGAGGAGCTATCAAAATGTCATCCATGTAGTGTATTATATACGCCTCAGAGAACAGTCTCCTGACTGGCTCTAGCACCTTCCCTACAAAGAATTGACACATCGTAGCACTGTTTACCATGCCTTGAGCCAGAGTTTTAAGATGGAACCTCTTATGAGGAGCTTTATGGTTTAATTCGGGCATAGTGAGAGCAAATGGAATTAGAAATTGAAGGGAAAAGGTTTTGCAAATCTGGATTTGGGTTCATTTCCTTAGGGCATTCAGGGGGGCTTAAGACCCACCCATTAACTTCCCCTACAGCCAGCATGGAGGGAATGAAAGAAGTTAACCAGATCAGAATATTGCAAGAAGGTAAAATCATACAGTGTAAAGAGCCTGTAACCTTATTGGTAAACATGGAGAAAAAATGTCTGTTTGGTAATTTACTTCAAGAACAGCTGAACAGATTCATTAAGAATTTTTTCAGTCTTTCAAATCATCCTGAGTTAGTCAGCTCTCTTAATTCTCTGAGAGCTGGGAGCCAAAATTTATATAACAATGAAGGCTGTCTAACTAGTCCTTATACTGGGTCAAAGCCTAGCAAGTTAACTGAGATTGCTAGCAGTGCTTTGAAATCTGAATTGTTAAAACAGAAGGGGGAGAAGAGGAATCTTATGTGTGACAAAGTTCATTTAGTCATTTTAACCCCCAAAATTTCCTCCTTACTAAAAGATTGTAACAAAATTAGGGCAGATAAGCACATTTTCACTTCTACAGAGAGAGCTAATCCTAAGAAATCCCAAGAGGACGGAAACCACGTTTGGGACCCAGGTCCCCATGTCATGTTTTTGCAGAGTAAAGCTGATGGAGAAAGATGGACAAGGAAGAGATGGAGAAGCTACCCAATCTTAATCATAATTCCTTTTTCAGGTTAATGACACCCCAAAGAGAGGGGCTATTTGTTTATATTTTCACAGGCAAAGGAGATAGGTGGATTTCTCTTCAGCTAGCAAGGCCCAGAAGAAAAGGGGGCCATTATCAGAGAGACTGCAGGCAGATATTGCAAAAGAACAGGACAATTAACAATGGGAAAGACCCAGGGAGAGAGCCCGAGATGGGATCCAAGGAACCCAGACTCTGCCCCGCTGCAATAGAGGCTCTCCCCGGTCCTCGCTCCCGGAGGCTCTCTCCTGCTCTCTGGCCGGGCTCCCCCCATGAGGACCACCAAGCGGGGCTGGGGTGAGCATGCATGAATTGTGTCTGACTCCATTATTTGACTCTCATGCTTTCTATAACTTCACAATAACCTTTACCTATTATCGCTGAACAATTGTGCCTACCGGACCTGTGATGATTTGTTGGGGACTCTCTTCTCCCCACTTCATCCCCAAAGTGCCCACTCGAGCCCAGGGTGTGATGCCCGGCAAACCAAACCCCACGGCACTGCTGTCCAGTCGACCCTACAAATGACTTCCCAGGTTGTAAATCTTTATGGGGCACACAACCCGGTCCTTCCCTCAAAGAGCAGCTGGTGGGTTTGAACTTCTGATCTTGGGGTTAGCAGCCTAAGGCCTAACACACTGTGCCACCAGGAAGGTGCCCATACTAGGTGCTTAACCTCCGACAGAACCAGAAAACGACGGAAGCCTAACTTGCCCACGAGCCCTTTTGGAAACTGACTTCTGAGCTAGTTTTCAAATCCCAAAGAAAATCAATCTCCATCGCTTAGTGCTGAAGCCATTTTCGGTCAACAGAGGGTTATCCCACCTAACAGCTTCCATGACAGCCTCAGCACGTTTCCCCAGCACCTACTGCGTGCCCGCGCAGCACTATACTCTCAAACTCCCATGCACTTGGTGGGAAAGGTTTGTCCTGGTGGCAGGGTGTCAAGACCAGGCATTGAAAAGGATGCAAAGGTCCTCAAGTGGCCATTTCACTGTACCCTAGAGTGACCCGTGTCCTGAGCCATGACAGCACCGTCGGCCGGAGCACACATGTGGCCTGACCTAATGCCTTCAGGGTATAAGTGGCCAGTTTTCTCATGAAGGAGGTTTTGAGGGAAGAGGAGGTTGTCTCCCCTTTGATGGGGAAATGTGGAGAAAGCAATTCTTCCCCAGGAGACAACAGCCCCCACCAGCCACCGTGGGGTTCAAGCTGTCTCACGGTGACCCCACAAGTTGCCGATGGCTGGTGTTCTGGGAGGTTGCCACGCCTTTCTTCTGAGGCAGGGCCCTGGGAGCCCCAGCCCCAGGGGCGCCTGCAGGCTCCTCCCGTGCCACTCACCAGCAGCCTGCGGCAGTACCCGAACCGACGGCTCCCGTCTTCCCCGGTCAGCACAAAGGAGAACGTCTCGCTGCGGAGGGAAAGGAGCCTGAGGAGGCCCAGTCGCCGCCAGGGCAGGGCAGATAGACTGTGGCACTGCATCCCTGAGGAAGCGAGGGATGCCTCTCTTCACCCACAGAAGTCTGCCCCAGCACAAAGCGCCTGCCTGAGCCTGCTGGGCACGGAAGAGAGAGGGCCTGTGGCTGAGGGGGGCCTCAGTGGGCTTCCCGAGCCAGGGAGTGGCTGTGAGAAGCAGACGACAAGCAGAACAGTACTGGGCCCCTCGGCCCTGCCCCCAGAGCCCCACCCCAGGCTCTGCCAGGGGCTCAGACTGTCCTAAAGACACTGGGCTGACCTCCAGGGTCTCATCAGCCACTGGCCCTGGCCAACCTCGGGGTGCAGCCAGCTGGGTTTGGGGAACAGCTGGAGCAGGCAGGCAGGCCCGAACCCTAGGGGTGAAAACATAGGCCGCCCCAGGCGAAGACCAGCCTCATAACTGCCCCTTACACTCACATGGCCCCACCTACCCCCAATTTCCTCCTGGCCTGGCCCATCAGGGACAATGGGCAGAGCTGTCACCAAGCCCCCACTCCTGTCTGTCTCAGTGGGGGGAAGAGGGTAACCTCCACTCCTGTCTCCTTTCTGCAGTGGGAGAGAGGCAGCCCCCATCCCAGTTTCTGTGTCTGTGGTGGGGCGGGGACGCCCCCTTCTTTTCCCGGTTCGGGTTGGGGTTGGGGGGCAGTCGACATACCTGGTGAACTCCTGGACGGGGGCCCAGTCCTTGGCGTCGGGGAAGCAGAACTGAGGGATGGCCTTCAGCTGGTCCTCAGCTGCCTGCAGGAACTTGAAGGACCTTTCCAGCTGCAGGGAAGAGGAGGAGAGATGCCGGGAGACTCCTGGGCTGGGAGCGGGCCACTGGCACACCCTCCAGGTCCCTAGGGTCCGCCCCCAAACCCAGTCTGCTTTATCGGAAGATGTCGATGCCTGACTCCTAGTGACCCTGCTGTGGCCCGCAGCAGAGTGCCCCAAGGGTTTCCAAGGACTACCTATTCACCACAGCCTCATCTTTCCACTGGCACTTAGCCAGTGAGCACACCAGGGCTCTTCTGCTGCCTGCCTGACTTGCTGGGCCACACCAGAACCCGGGAATGGCCACCTGGACAGCAGAGCCCCTGGGTCCCTGCACTGGGCCCCTGGCAGAGCATGTCCCCAACTCTGGAAGCACCCTCCGATTCATGACCAGCACTCATGAAGACAGAGGGCCAAATGGCACTGGGTCAACTGGCCGCAGTGTTACCGAGCAAAGATGCCACCTGGCAGCCTCAGGTGTGTCTGCCCCAGGCCAGTGTTTCCAATAGACTGAGTTGTCTGAGAGCTGGTGAGCAGGGAGGGATGAGGAGAATGGATGCAGCGGAATGTCAGTGACCGCGAAGAAAACTCGAAGTACCAGGGGCCAACCTGTCTGGGCGGCAGGGCGACCACGGCGCTCCTCTCCCCAGAGGCAGGGGGGTGGGATGCCAAGGTCTTGTGCCCTCTAGGCCAGTCCCTGAGAAGGACGTCATGCTCGGGAAAGTGGAGGGGCAGCGGCAAAGAGAGGGGCTGCAACAATGAGCTCCAACTTTAGATCCATCGTGCGGACGGCGCAGGTCTGGGCTGTGGGTGGAGCTGACTCACAGTACTAACAACAGCAGTGAGCACACGGGTTCAAGGGCCTTCAGAGTCCCTGGGTGCCACAGCTAGAGGGGACTCCGGGCCTTCTCAGACTGGACAGGGAACAAGCCCTGACATGGGATGGGACGGGTCCCTGTCCACACAGTCGGTGTTGAAGCCAGAGGACAACTGTCACCTCTGTGTCTCTGCCACCACGCTCCCAGCACAGGGCCTGGGGCACATCTTGTCCAGCTCTGTGACCCTAGGGCCGGACAGAGGGACAGAGTCTCTGCCTCTCAGCTTACCTGTTTGCCTGCCCGGCTGTCCTGTGTACCCCTGAATCCCAGGCACCCTGAGGAGCCCTGGTGGTGTACTGGTTACATGTTGGGCTGCTAACTGCAAGGTCAGCAGTTCAAAACCGCCAGTCTTTCCACGGGAGAATGATGAAACTTTCCACTGTAAAGCATTACGGTCTCAGAAACCCATGAGGGGCGTTCTACCCAGTCCTGGAGGGCTGTTACGAGTAGGAATCACTGCAGTGCCTTTGTATGCTTGTCTGCGTGTGTGTGTTTTGTGTGTGTGTTGAGTTCACAGCAGGGGAAGTCATAGCTCCAGGCCGAGCGCCCTGTTGGGACACAGCAGGCTCCGGCAGGTACACGGACACGGGGGAGCCCCATTGGAGGGGGAGGGGTGTGGCTAGATACAAAGCTAGGGAGACAGAGGCTGGGGGCCCCTCTTCTAGCCTCACTGCACTGGCCCCCGCGCCTGCCCGCATCCCGGCAACGGCAATCTTCACGTCGCACTTGGGTCACACGCTCTGCTGCTGCTGGTGGAACAGCCCGCCCAGCTGCACCGCTGCCCAGCGTGAGAGAGGCCTGGCAGTCTGCCCCCGTCAAGATGACAGCCTGGGCGACCCTGTGGGCAGCACTGCTCCCTCACAGGCCGCAGTAAGTCAGGACGGACCCAACGGGCCGCAGCCGCCACCTGTGGGGCCGTCCCCGGGGTCCTTACCTTCAGTGGAAACTGCTGCGTGAGCTCGGGCGCGTAGGCGGCCCCCGCCTGCTTCCTGTGCAGCGACACCACCACGAAGTACTCGAAGAGCTGCCGCTCCGGGGGCTCCAGCAGCCTCCGGTCCAGCGGGGGGCAGCGGGGGGCCTGCTTCAGGCGGGCCCGCACGTGGACCAGGCGCTGGCTGTGAGCTGCAGAGAGCAGAGCAGAGCCACCCTTTATCTGAGCCCCTGGTGGTGCTGTGGGTTAGGCACTTGGCCGCTAATCACAAGGCCGGTGGTTCAAACCCACCAGCCGCTCTGCGGGAGAAAGGCGAGGCCGGCTGCTTCCTGGGAAACCTTCTAGTGGGTGCTCTGTGCTGTGTCTGGGTTTGGGGTTTCCCCATGAGCTGGGAGCAGCTGGCATGGCCCCTAGATCTAGCGTTGTAGCCTCGCTGTCAGGGGGCGCTGCGCAGAACCCCCACCCCCACCCCTGCCCCGCTACCACTTGGCTGGACGATGGGGCAGGCACGGCCACAGGCCATCTGGAGAGGGAAGCTTGGTGACAATCTTGCTGACAATGCCCGCCCAGCATGCCTGTGTGTCTGGACAACACTCGTGAGGGTGGAGACAGTCCCCTCTGACACGCGGCCCCCCTCAGAGCCCTGGCACAGCTCCCAGGGGCTTTAGAACCTCAGGGTCCCACACGCACGGACCCTGGCAAATCACACTGCTGAGGGCCCACATGGCAAGCTGAGGGGGCTGGCTCGGGGACAGTGTGGCCCCCAGGAGCACCCGAGGCACCCTGCCCTCACCTTCCAGCTTCTCCTCGGCGTCGCTGTCTGACTCGCTGTTCTCATCCGTCACTGGAACAGAGACAAGACGCAGAGAGGTGACAGAGGGCCATGGACACTGCGGACCCTCCCGGGGCCCTGCTGTCTGCTTCAGAGGCACCTGGGTCACCACCTCTCTGCCCGGCCCGTGCACGTCCAAGCTCAGTAGGCCCTCGCTAAGGTGGCAGCCGTGTCAAGTGATGGGGGACGGTGCTGGGCATCGACAACTGCCAGTCAGAGGACAGTGCCCGGGTCGGCGGCTGGGAGAGGCCCCAGACAGATGCAATGGCAGGCACCGTGCATCCCTCCTTGTGTGGGGGCAGGCCTACCTTTCCCGGAGCTGCTCTCTGCCGACTGGGACAGCCTCTTGACGTGTTTCTTCCCCCGTCGGGCCTCGTACACAGCGTTGATACGGAGCACCAGCTGCAGAGTGTAGGGGAAGCGTTGGCAGGGCCTCCCCATGGCCAGCGTCCCCATGGCGGAGGGACACTTCGCAGCGGGCAGCTTTTAGGATTTCTTTTCTGCCTGCGGTCATCAGCCCCAAAGGATGTGCCAGCCCTCTGGGCATCCCTGGGATGGCTGAGGGGTGGGTGCCCTGTCACTGCCCCGTCTGGGTGACGAGGAGTCTGGGGAGCAGCCACAGGGGAGGCTCTGGAGTGCACTGAGCTGAGGTTCAGCAGCATCACAGTGGCAAGTCTCGGTGCACGCTGGCACCGGTTAGAGTGGGACAGGGCCCACAGGGAAGGGAGGATGGCTGGGGGACAATGCCACCTTCGGCCTGCGGCAGAGAGGTCACCTTGGGGATCTTCCTCTTCCTGCGGCCGTTCTGCGCATCCCCAAGGTTGAAGAAGGTGTCGTCGGGGCTGCTGGGAGTGGATGGGGGGCTGACCCGGGAAGGCGACACAGTCCCGTCCCGGCTCGGCTTCCGCGTGTCCAGTGGCTTGAAGCTGCTCCTCTCGGAGCCGTGCCGTAAGAACATGGGCTTGACCAGGGCCTGGAGGGGGAGAGGGCATGCGTGTGAGCGGCACAGCAGGGAGCGGGGGTGTGGGGGGGTGGCCCCTTTGGGTCTGTCATCAGGACACGTGAGAAGGACATCATGCTGGGTAGATGGCCATGCTGGACGAAACTCGTGGACACAGCGGCTAAGACCACAGGCTCCAAAAAAGCAGGGCTGGTGGGGATGGTGCAGGGCCTGCGGCGTTTCGCTCTGGTATGTGCCAGGTCACAGCTGAAGAGGGAAGGCAGTCCCGGGCGGCAGGTTCATCACGCGTGCTGCTGCTGCGGTTCCCGTGAGGGTGCATGGTGGGTTGTGTCTCCGAGTGAGCAGTGGCGGATCCGGGCTTTCTTCCTGCCTTGGCTGCCGTGGACTTCCTCAGCTTCGCGAAGCTCTGTCCTGTAGACACGCACCGCGC